GAGGTTATAAGCTTCCACCTATTGAAATTTGGGTGCCGATCTATGAAGTTTGAGTTCACCCAATTGTGTATGGGTGGATCTGGCTGCTGTGCTCAGCTTCTTCCTGCTGCAGCCTTTGGAAGCAAACCTGTTGTGCTCCTCTGGCAAGATGTTCAGCTCCTGGATTAGCTACATGGTTCTGGCCCCTAGTCTCTCTGCAAGGACTTCAGCTGCAGAGTTTCATCCCAGGCCTGTATGCCAGGCCTGGGCTGGGTCTGGAGGAGTCCAGTGAGCAGGACAGAAGGACTTATTTGCAAGTGGGCCTGTGCTGGGTCAAGAGGGATCCAGCAGACAAAGGGAGCATGGAAGCTGTCCCACACACTTGCTGGTCCTGGACTTGGGCTGGGTCTGGAGGGGTCCCAGGAGAGCAGTGGAAATTCTCACTCACAGGCTGGGCTTGGCCTGGGGTCTGGAGGTGTCCAGAGAGTGCGGCAGAAGTTCTCACTGACAGGAGGGGCCTGGGCTGGATCCGGAGGGGTCCAGGCAGTGCAGGGGAGTGCAGAAACTCTCCCACACACTCGCTGGGCCTGGGCTTGACCTGAGTCTGGAGGGGTCCTAAGAGCTCGAGGGAAGTTCTCACTCACGTGCTGGCCCTGGGCTGGGTTTGGAGGGGTCCAGCAGGTGCAGGGGAGCATGGAAGCTCTTCTACATACTTGTGTGGCCTGGGCTTGGGCTGGGTCTAGAGGGATCCCGAGAGCTCGGCAGAAGTTCTCACTCCTGGGAAATTATTTCTGGTCTGATTTCCTCTATACCCTTCTAAAGTTGCTTTTTTACTTCAGTTGCTATTATTTGAGAGATTTCAGGCATGTGCTTTCTAATATCTTCTATGCTGGTGTCTCCTGGGTTTGTTCTAGGTGGGCTCAGTGCCTGAGACTGTATTTGGCTCTTCTTTTTGTCATTTTTATTTCAAAAAGAACTCTTTATTTTGGTTTCTTTGATGCTTTTTTGTGAAAGTTTGATAGTAGGTAGCTATATGACCGCAATCAGAATCTCTCTGTAAATTATCTGTGCTTTGAGTATCTCTCCTGTGTCAGAGATTCTTGTTTTATGTGTGTCCCAAGAGTTTGCTGTGTCTTTTTTATTGAGAGAGAGATATTGGCTTCCATTTGACACTGTCCTCTATCCTTCGCTATAGATTTTTTGTGAGGTTATTACCCTAGCACCTCCTCATATTGTTAACCAAGGGAGAACATGTGGTCAAAGCAGAAGTGGCATTGTATTTACAATAGTAGAATTAGCAATACTAATAACAGCTAGCAATATTTAGAAATTGACAATATTAGACTGGTGAGATTAGCTCTGCTTTTCAAAGTGGCTGCTTAGAGGGAACCATGGCTTGATCCCCGGTACCACATGCCGTGCAGCCTGGCTCCTAGAGCAGGCTGAGCCAGCCACAGAAATAAATAAATAAATAAATAAATAATTTGACAATATTGTGGCCAGTGGTTTTTCACTTTAGACCATAAGAGCAAACATTATAGCTATATAACAAAGCAAATCCTAAATTGGGAATTTGTATTTAAGTTAGTTTCCCTGAGTTCTGTCTGGGCACCTCCCCTGGATGTCTCTGGAGACACTAGGCCAACTAGCTCACCACAGTTACCTCCTATAACCTCTGTGCTGCAAGGATCCTCACCTTAGGTATGGGTCTCTGCCTGGGCCCTCCTGGACCTAGCAGTATGCCTCAGCCCACTGGGTCTAGTTCTGCTGAACTTGAACTTGGCTGGCCGGTCCTGGCTTGGGTCTGGCTGCTGGGTTCAGTGCACACCTTTGGCTGTGCCTTCCTGTACTAGTGGCTGGGCCCCACTGGCTGGCTGCTGTGCTGGTGGCTGCTGTTTCTTTACAAAACATATCACTTCTATTCATAAAATCATTTTCTTTTTTTTGTACTTAGGAAAATTTCCAGATTCATTCCCATGACTGTGAGTTACCATTTTAGAAGCATTGTCCAGACCTTACCTCATGCATTCTCTTTTCTCTAACAATACTTTTTGAGAGGTCTCTATTTCAAGACTTCTTGCCTAAAAAAAACCCCACACACTTTAATATCATACTGTTCATATTCTTCTACACATCCTCTTTATCATTTCCACAAGGCTCAGTGAAAATTTTATTAAAAGTAGAGATCTTGCTGATAGTTTTTATTTCTCCCCCATTCCTTTAATTTCATGATTGTATGTATTATAATTTGTATTTATTTATATAACATGTAACAGGTATTCCATGAAATGTAAATGACAAAATAAATCTGCTACAATTACCACTGTGCCCAAGATCTAGCAAAGTGTGTTCTACTTGCAAGTCACTAAATAAAATATTTAATGAATGAATGAATGAATGAATGAATCTTGAAATCCAAAAGAGAGCTACATCAAAGCTTGAGTTCCTTTCTAGGCAGAATGTTGCAAAATTTCCTTCCTATTCACTAAGGAAATTCTTATAGAAACTGACATTTAGAGAACTGGTTTAGATTTCTTAAGATAGAATCTTCTAAATCATAGCAGAACTATTGCTCGATCAGCCATTTGTACAATGAGTTACTTTTCAAAGCATCTATGGATAGGCATTATTTTCATAGTCTATGTGTTCTTTGGTATTTTGTAAGTAGTACTTAGTATCAAAATAGCATTGGCATCAAATTAGTCCTTTGGTAATATTTGTTCCATAATTTATAGAAAAACTGTTTTGAAAGTCTCAAATAAGTGTAAAGATATAATTCTAAGAAAAGTATAGATGGATAAAATGCATTTTACCTTTTGCAATATGATTTGATTAGAAAACTAGTAAGAAAGAAAATGGTTATTTCTTTGAAAAATGTTGGTTTAAGCAACCTTTTGAAAAATAAAAGGATTATGTAGATATCTTTTAGGGACATCTTTACATTTAAGATCATTGTTATTTGCACTTAGTAAAGTTAATTTGAATAAAATTCTAGTGACCATGTCTTGTGTATGGCCCTTTTCCATCTCAACCACGTGCTGCTTTTATACCCTCAAATTGTCAAGACCTTAGTAAAAAGCTTGTTGCTTCTCCAGTGTCTATTTTTTTTTCTTCCTCCAAATTGTCACTTCAAATATAATCATTAATTCTCAAACTTTGGACAACACGTTCTGAATGGTTTTAAGAGGTAAGGAATATGTGCTTTACCTACAAAGAAATCATAGTATAAAGATTAAAAATCTGAAAACATGTGCATCTCAACATTCACTAAACTAAAATCTAAATGAATCAAAGATCTAAATATGAAAACACAAACACTAAATCTGCTTGAACACGTAAAATTTTTGAAGATATAGTTGTTAAGTAAAGACTTCATAATCAGAACCCCAAATGTACAGGACATATTACAAAGAATCAAAAACTGGTGTTTCATCTTATTAAAAATTTTTGCACAGCAAAGGAAGCCATCCACAGTTAAAGGATCCACAGTGGAAAAAAATGTTTTCAGGTGTTGCTCAAAGGATGTATATCTGGAACATATAAAGAATTGGAAAAAAACCAGGCCCCTAAGTTTGAAGATCCATTCCAAAAATGGGCATCTGAAATGAATATACTTAGGGGCCCAGGGAGTTAGCTCAGTAGAATAAGTGCTTGGCTGGCAAGCACAGGGTCCTGAGTTCAATCCCTGGTGCCACAAAAAAAAAAAAAAAGGAATGAATATACTCTTCCAAGATGAAGAAATACAAATGGCAAATAAATATATGAAAAAATATCCAATATTACTGGTCATTTGCGATGTGCAAATGAGAACAATGCTGAGATTCCGTCTGACCCCAGGAAGACAGGCCATCTATCATCAAGAGGTCAACCAGTGACAAATGACAGTGGGACTCTCCACTGCTGGTGCAAGTACAGACTTGTGCAGCCACTGCAAAAGTAGAGTGGTGATGCCACAAAGGTCTGGCATTCAGTGTCCCGTTTGACATGAGCTTTCCCTTTCTGGGTATCTTCTTGAAAGAATTACAAGCATCACACCACAGTTATGTAGGCACAAACATGTTTGTAGCAGCACAATCTTAATAACTGAATCTTCAGAACAAACCAAATATCCATCAAACAATGAATAAAAAGGGTTCTTTTATACAATGAAGTACTATTCAGCTTCAAAGAAGGGTAAACTGGAGACCTTTCTTTTCTCTCTCTCTCTCTCTCTCTCTCTCTCTCTCTCTCTCTCTCTCTCTCTTTCTTTCTTTTTATTGTATTTGGTACAGTCTTACTATGCAGCTCAGACTCATAGTGGTTTTCCTGTTTGCAGCCTCCCCAGTAATGGGATTACAGGCATGTGCAGCCAAGCTTGGTCCCTTGGCTAGCTCAGTGCACCCAAGGACAGGGCCAGCATGGCATGTGGTGATGGGAATCAAACCCTCATCCTTGCACTTGCCTAAGCAGGCATTTAGTCCACTGGGCCATCTCCCTGGCCCAAGGTACCTAGGGAGGGGGAGCTAGAGAGGAAGAAAGAGAAAAGAATAAAATGAAAACAAATTTTTATAAATAAGGAGGGGAAGAGGGGTTGTAGGTAGGGAGGGTAAGAGAAAAAAGAAAGAGGAACCAAAATATATTCATCTAATAAACTTAATTTTAGAATGCTTAATGTTAAAAAAGAAAATGGTACTATAACCATTAATAATTATAGTTATATCATTTTAAATATATTTTTCAGCCAACAGATTTAAATTAAGTTATATATTTTGGAGATCTAGCTTTGACATCAAATATTGCAATTCTTATATCCCAAAGTCAGGATGCAGATTCCTATCACCTAAAAATTTATTTCTTATTAGACTTAATTATATATTTTACCTTAATTTTATCTCTGCTGCATCGTTTTGTCTCTATAATTTTAATGCTGTAATTCCATAGAAAAGCTCCAATTATTGTGGAAATGTTGGTGGGCAAAGTTTCCAAGTTAGCACCCTAAAGCACTGTCCTACCCATGTGCCTTTTTTAATTACTGTTTTTAGGACCACCGTCAGCTCCTAGGAATGTGGTTTTTAACATCAATGAAACAGCCCTCATTTTGGAATGGAGCCCCCCAAGTGACACTGGAGGAAGGAAAGATGTAACATACAGCGTCGTCTGTAAGAAATGTGGCTTAGACCCTCAGCAATGTGAGGACTGTGGTGGAGGCCTGCGCTTTATCCCAAGACGCACGGGCCTGCTCAACAGTTCTGTGATAGTGCTTGACTTCGTGTCTCACGTCAATTACACCTTCGAAATTGAAGCCACGAATGGAGTCTCTGAGTTGAGTTTTTCTCCCAAGCCATTCACAGCTATTACGGTGACCACAGATCAAGACGGTAAGTCCATTGCTGTTCTCTTGCTCCTTAATTCCTTTTTATGTGCAATATCCCTGAAGGGCTTATTCTTTCTGTATGCGCAATGTGGTGGCATATGTGTATGCACCGTATGTGCAATGAACCACTAAACACACTTGCTAGCTGTTGTTTTGGTTCTTTCCCAAGATGCTGAAAAGTTTTTGATATGAAGTCCTAGCAGTATGGAAGATTATATAAGATGCCTGTCTTTAAAGGGCATATGTCTGTGTTTTGATATCATTCTATCCCAAGGTCTCTCAATGAGTAGGCCCATATTACTTAACAGGGGACATTAACCATGAATAAAGTGTTGGCAAATGAATCAAATTGTTTTTCTGCACCACACAAAGCAAGGAGTAAGAAGTTATTTTAATTATAACTTCGTATCTGTATTATTAAATCATTTCACTGAACATGCAATTTGTAAAAAGTTATTCAGCAGTCTTAAAAATATCTGATAAATTCAGTTAAATTTTCCTTTTATGACACTATAATTTTTTATTGTAGTATACCTGGCACAAGCTCTCATGATTTTATGAGTATGCACTCTCTTTAACTCACTTATGATTATATTGCAAAGCACAGTACAGAAAAGGCTTCAGGGATTTGAAATACCTTATAGGAAGTGTTCAGAAATGATATGGTTGCACACATGATTGTCATACAGCAAAAGGCATCATAAATGGCCAGCTATACATGCTATAAACTTATAGAGACAAATCTAGTTTTACATACTGTATTGGTTAGCTATAGTAGATATAACAATTACCACAGCCCATGGCTTAAAATCTAGAAATTTCTATTGTTATCCAGATCAAGTTGTCTACATATGTGATATCATTCTGGGCCTGCCTTCTTGGATATAGATAGCCATCTTTTCCCTGTCTTCACATCGTGCTTCCTCATCACAAATAATCTCTGTGTTTCAAGCTTTCAAGTTAGGAAAGCACATATGTGAAAATGTAAATATTCTAGGCAAGGATAATATTATAAAATAATGCAACCTGTCGATCTATCACTTATTCTTCCATATTCAAAAAGGTCAAGCCTAATATTAAATTTCAAAGAAATTTATAGACGCTGGAATGTTCTAGAACTGTACATTCCGTCATCATTGTATACCAGCCATAAATAAGAAAATTTTATAATTGCGGGTGGAGGAAGGGATTTTCTATCACTTCACTTGTAGCATCAGTGAGAATTTTCTTTCAGTTGACTGAGAAGCATTTTCCGTAGTTGTCCAATAACACATCCCAATTTCACTGGACTGGGAAGATCACAATAAAAAGGTTTGTCTTATCATTTGTAGGTTGTATATTATTAATTTATACTAGTAGACAATAAGGGTTATTCATAAATTTTCAATGTAGCAAACATAATTTTGAGTATGTTCTTTGTGTAGAATACTATGTAAACTCTTTGAAACTTAAAGTGTGGTGGAGAGTATGATAGCAAATAATTTTTAAAATATGTGATCAGTGCTATTTCCAGCTAAGCATCCCAGGGTACTCAGATTGCTGAAGCATAAGGGTTGATTCTGTCCACGTAAGTAATCACTAAATTAAATTCTGCTCTAAGGGATAAGTAGAATGTTATTGAGCAAAGTGAATTCAAAAGAAAAAAAAAAGAATTCTGAATAGAAAGAACCAAATGAAGGCTGAGAAATGGAGTGGAAGGGGAGCAATGACATGTTAGGGTATTTCACAGAGGTACAGCAGGGTTCCAGGAAGGGACTGAAGGGTTCATCAAAACTTTGGAGACATTTGGAATCATTAAGTAGCTGAAAAAGTTAGGAAACCACCCACTTATGAAAAGATGCTGATATATCATCAGAATGTCAAGTAGAGGAAAGAAAATAATAAGATTGTTAAGAACTTGTTCTTGAATTATAAGTATAAAAATAAAATATTGGAGACTAAAAGTACAGGTAAGTGTATGAATACAGCTCCCTTGTGCGTGCAGTGTAGAACAACGAGGTAGGAAGGTTGCGCTAATTTTCTTATGCTTTAAAGTATCTCTAACTCTTTTCTCGTATGTAGGAAACACTTTAAAAAAATCAGACAACTCAGACTTGTTTGCTGTCTGTTTACAATTAAATAAATGTAAAATTTAGAAAGGTCTTTCTTAATCACTTAGAAGTACTTAGCTGTAGTTAGGAGAAATGTTTCTTGATTATTCTGATTCTAGTTGGATAAATAAGATTATAGAGTTAAGACTATGCCTCTCATAATTAGAAATCTTCTCAATAAATCCTAATTAACTAACTTGCTCAGTCCCTAAGAGCTATATTTGCAGGGTTCTTTTGCACAGTTTGCTTAAGTAGTCTTGAAAGGCATTTCATTTAGAAAGCAACACTTACAAAATGTTTTATTTTAATTTTCACTGCATAATAAAGAACAAAGGTGTACAGCTCAGTGAAGAGTAATTATTGAGATAGTAGATGGTAAAGGAAAATGTTAATCATGGACAGTCAATCTTAAACAAATTTTGTCCATAGAAATTGTGACATGCGTAAAAACATGTAAATACAACGTTCAAAGCAAAAGGCATATTTTGATATTGCCTAACAGGCCTTTTAAATAATTATTATCAAAAGCAAGTTGTCTGATCACTTGCCTCTTACATGTGTATTCCACAACGCTAACATTGCCCGTGGGTGACTAATCTGTAGCCTTGCCGTTTGCTCAGATTTTGATTACAGATTTCATATATTTGCTCTGGCAGCAACCATTGATTAATCTGACCTTGAAGTAGATTTTAATCAACAAAATCTCTATATATATTATTTTTAAATTTGAGATGTCTGTTGATCTATAAGTCACTGCATTTTGGAAATGCAGGCTATTTAAATTGCCAAACTTTAGCATATAGGTAATTAGGGGCCTTGTAAGCCTTCACTCATTTTTATATCTATATATTAATATACTTTAACTCAGGATATTTCTCACAGTTCTTGTTTTCAGAAACTCTTAACAGTGTATATTCTTTTTTTCTAAGAGCTGTGTAACTGTATTGAAAGTAAAAATGCAACAGTATGAATATTTTAAATGTTTGCTAATAATTCCCTGGATACAAGCAGAAGAATGTGATGTTTTTAAACAGATAATAACTGTGGTTTCACCTAGGAGAGAAATGCTGGACTATTTGCATTTTTCATCTCTTGTATATATAAGCAAATTACATATTCAAAAGCTACAGGCATCTAATATTGATATATAAGATTTTCCTATCTCCTCATGAACAGTAATACTCAACTGAAAGAGTATTTTTTATTATATTCATGGAAGATAATTGAAATGCCAGTCTAGTTAATCATTAGTAAAAAACCTTCATGGTCCCACCAAATATTAAATTACAGTAGAGTCTAGATAATTGTAAATTTTATTTTTTTTATTCCTCAGAAGTATCAAATGATTTCTAGGTCTAGCATCTTTTGGTGTTGTGCATTATCTGATAATTGAATAATGTAGTAACGTGCCTGGAGCCTTAAGAATTAATGACTGGGTGCGGCTCGATGATGAAGCTCCTCAGCAGCAGCTACAAAATTGAACATCTGTCCCCAAACAGTCGTGCACCATACTGTACCTGCTACTATCGCACTGGACCATTTCATATTTTTTAGTAATTTACCTTCTCCACATATTGAGAGGTACTTAAAGGCAGGCATGATTTATTGATTTGCAAAATGTCTGAAATGTAAATATAACAGCCCTTTACTCATGTGTGTGTCTGCCTCCCACACAGCCTGTGAAGCTGAGCCTCTGTAGGCTGCAGGAGCAGAGAGTGGAGATGCTCTGTGATAAACCCTAGTACATCCACAGGGTTCATTCAGGTTCAATTAGTAGTTAGTATCTTCCAGAAGTTATTTTTAGTGCTAGGTGTATGTATAAGAATTCAAATGAAAAATAAAAATGATCACTGTTCAACTTTCATAGACATTATATTTTAGTGTAAAATGGTAATACATCCCATGAATAAAAGCTAAATGGAGTAAGAATTTTGAGACAAGATTGTCCAAGCAAACCAAAAGTGCTTCTTTTGATTATATGACATTCGAATAGCTCACGAATTTAGAAGACTATCCTGTGACTATGCAGAAGACTTCCAGGCAGTGGGTATAAAAAGAGCAAAGCCTTAAATTCAAGCAGCAGTGAGTTTGGAAAATAATAAGTAGTATTGCCCGTGCAGTTCTGGCACAGTCCAGATGTCACGCCCAGCACACCTTCTGATGCTGCAGGTGGCCTGGCTCCAGAAGATTTGCACCAGCACCAGGCCACCCTTCCCAGCAGCCATGCTTCCCTGCAAGTGAGCACACATGGAAGAGGACTCTTTGATCTTCGACTTGATTTCAGGCAGTTGATTTTTTAAAGCCATCCACTGTGTTCTCTGCGCAGCTCTCCTGTGCACTCTTTTAGGAAAGATGCCTAAGCATTTTCTTTGCTATAAAATTGTTACACCTTATCGATGTTTTGATTTGATTTCTCTTCTAGTACATCAACAATTTTAATGGCCTTTACTTGTAAAAACTTAGAAAAAAATCCTTTAAAACTTTCAAAACTGTGCCTTGTTAGTTGGTGTTTAAATTTCATATAAATGTTCATAATCATACTCTGCATAACCTGTATTATTGATATCAGGCTTTATTTTATAGAAAATACCTAGCAAACTGTCTAGCCCAACTTCAATACAACTGTATGTTTTGAAAATAGAGACCAATATGATTTCATTAACTAAACTGCCTACAAAACAAGCATTAATTTGAGTAAATGATTCATATGCAATTACTATTAAACAGTTTTTAAGAAAATATCTTCTAGGGCTGGTAAGATACCTCAGCAGACAAAACACCTGGGATTAAGGATCACCAGAGTTCTAGCCCCGGTCCCACATGCTGTGCCAGCCCTGACCCTGGGCACGCTGAGCCTGAGACAGTCTGGGCATGCTGGTACATGCCTTTAATCTCAGTATTGGGGAGACTGAAA